AGCTATATCACTACTTCTGTCCCGCAGATGTTGGTCCACTGCTTCACGGACAGGCCGACTATCCCGCTGGGCAGATGTTTTGCTCAGATGAACATTGCTCTCTTTTTAGTTGTGGTAGAGTGCCTTTTGTTAGCTTTCATGGCTTATGACCGTTTTGTGGCAATATGCTACCCTCTGCACTACAACCTGATTATGAGTCGCAATGTATGCATCCAGCTGGCTGTGAGCCTGTGGGTCAGTGCCTTCCTTTTGACTGTTGTGCCCTTTTTCAGCATGCAAATAACTTTTAGTGGGCGAAATGTGGTAAATCATTTCAAGTGTGAATTGCAGGCAGTGCTGAAATTGGCTTGCTCTGACACCCATGCCAGTGGGCTTAGCGTGCTAATAACCAGTGTCTTTACACTAGCATTCCCCTTCCTCTTTATCTTGGTGACCTATGGACGTATTGGACTCGCCGTTTTGCGAATCCGCTCAGCACAAGGTCGGAGCAAAGCCGTGTCCACCTGTGGCTCTCATCTCACTGTAGTGAGCATTTATTACGGCACTATCTTGGCCATGTACTTGAGACCTCAGGCCAAGACATTCTCTGACAGGGAAAAAGTAGTGGCAGTCTTTTATGGAGTTGTGATCCCCACGTTAAACCCCATCATTTATAGCCTGAGGAACAGGGATGTGAAGCGAGCACTCTGCAGGCTGGCTGGGAAGAAAATAGAGGAATAAACCACCCCAGGAACCATGTTGATAGATCTTCCACAAGCAAGTGTTTTATACAGTTTTGTCATTCTGCATGCCAGGACTGTGTAAAGTCTGGCTGTCTAGATATTGTCACATATCACCTCCAGTCCTCTTTCCTTATTGTCTATGCTGGCTACTGCTGACAAGTATGAAAACTCTGAAGTATTGAACTGATTGCAGCTCAACATAATCAATCATTATAGGTATACACATGTTGTCTCTTCCATCAAATTCTTGAGAATTAAAAAAAATGTTAAGCAACTTAAATGTGCTGTCCTTTACAACTTTCCTTAATCTCACTTTTTCCTTCAATTACACTCTTCTCTTCTCTTCTCTTCTCTTCTCTTCTCTTCTCTTCTCTTCTCTTCTCTT